GGCCCAAACAGCAGAGCCCCGAGGGCTGGCAGGCCTGCTGCCCAGAGCTCCACCCGGCTGAGCAGCCAGAGGAAGGAAACGCCAAAGGAACGACTCACAGATCCGCTCTTCCATTCTTCTAAAGATGATCTTCTACCCAGCAGAGGGAGAGCTTGTTTTTCTAAAACTCCCCGGAATTACTTTGGAACGAGTGTCCCTCCTTTTCTAATCAGGGCCAAGCTGCTGAGGGCCTCTCGCTGTGTGTGTGTGTGCGCTTTTCTGTCTGGGAGTATGTCTGCCTCCCAGCAAGGACCCCTTACATACACTGCTGATTTTGGAGACCGGATCACTGCTAGGACAAAACAAAGCAGAATAACACTAAGATGAGGCGGGCTTATGGACGCCCAGGCTTGTCTGCCGTGTGGATCATTCAGGACAAGTGGAATTGGATCTTTTCAGGGCAATTCTTTGCGAGAGCTCAAGGATTAGTTAGGAGGGCCATAGTCTTCATGCCCCTGGAGCCCAGGAACGCGTCTGCCCTGGGGAAGCAGCAGGGCTGATTATTAGAGACAGGCAGGCCAGGATGGGGGGGGTAGGGGTTGCTAATGAAAAGATCCTCAACTTTTGGGGGGTGGGCAGGGGGATACTTAGTGGCTTGTTTTTGGCTGGTCTCTTGCTCTGAGGAGCTGATACATTTTCTCTGTGTCTTCTGCGGCTTCCAGGCCATTCTGGATTTTGTTGTTGTTTTCCCGGTCTGCCCTGATATCTGTGCATTGCACAACTGCACAGAGCTCTGGGGTTTGGCCCCTGGCCCACCCCGCTCACCTCCATGCTCATCCTCAGGACTGCAACCCATCCTCCTGCTCCTTTTCCCCAGCCAGTTGAGTCCTGAAAGAATTTTCTGGATGTACTTTGGGTCTTCACTCACAAAGGTCCTTTCTCAACCTACCTCTGAGCCACCTCCGCTGGGAAACGGCGTCCAGCGGCCTCCCGAGGCCGTCAGGAATTGTTATGTTACTTCCTTCTGGTCCTTCACTCCTTTAGAGGCGGGAAGCTTACTTGAAATGACATCAGACAGGCCCCCCCCTTCCCCCGCCTCTCTCTCTGTCTATGGGGAGGAGGAGACGGGTGCAGCATTACATAGTCTTGTTTCCAGGGACTCTTAAGGAGCAATATTGGGAAGCTAAACATAAACAACCCTGCTCTAAGCTGATGAGCATTTGTTTTTGTTTTGCTGTGGTTGTTAGCCACCGCAGAGGCTGGGGGCAGTAGCTCCCACTTGTAATCCCGGCTTACTCAAGAGGATCGAGAGTTCCGACATTGGCTCAACAGTGAGAGGATGGCAGAAGCAACCTCAGGGCCTGCACCCAGCGCTCAGCTGGAGTTTCCAGCCCTGCAGCCCAGCGCCTGCTGCTCCCCAGCAGGGGGCGGGCAGGGGGCACACAGGCAGCCGGAGCCTCCTCCTGCCTGTCCCTGCTCCTGCCCCGCCCCCAGGCCCATTCCCTGTGGGCACGCGGCCGTCCACCTTCACCAGGATGCAGTTCCACCCGGACAGAGAAATCCAAGGTGCAGGTGATGTAGCAGACGCTTCAGCTCCAGCCCAGATGACACCAACTCCTTCTCCAGCGTGTACTCGCAATGCACATGGAGAGAGAGGCTGGAATCAATCCTCTTTCCCAGACTGTTTTTCTGACACACACTGGGCCCCAGGGGGCTGAAGTGGTTTACGGGGCCGCTTCTCCATGTGGTGACTCTTCAATTCCCACACTTTCCTGACTCATCAAAAAACAAATGTAGGCAGAAAGTTTGGTTGTGGGGCCGGGGCCGCGGCTCTGGAAAGGCTGTTACCCGTTACCCTCCTCAGGAAGCGTCCTAGGATCAGAGCTTAATTTCTCTGCAGAATCAGGACGATCATAATGTTCATCTCCCAGAGCGGAATGGGTAACATCTCAGAAGCACTCAGCACAGAAGACTCACACCACTGCCTGGTGCCTGTGGCTCACACCTGTCATCCTAGCTACTTAGGAGGCTGAGATCTGAGGACCAGGGTTCAAGGCCTGGCTAGGTAGGAAGGTCTGGTTAACCACCAGCAAACTGGAAGTGGTGCTATGGTTCAACCGGAAAGAACACTCCCCTTGAGCAGAAAAGCTCAGGGGCAATGTCCCAGGCCATGAGCTCAAGCCCCACAATGGACCAAAAACCAACCAAACAAACAAAAGAGCTATACAAGGGCAAAGCAGAACACTGGAACCCTGAAAGCAAGGCTGAAGTTTCTGGAGAGAGGTTGGGAGATGGCATTTAAAACACCGAGTTACTCAGACTAGTTTCTCTGGGAAGAGGTGGTACGTGCTCACACCGGTCCACCTTGTGGGGGGTGGGCATGAGGCCCAGGGCCCAGGGCGGCTGGAGAAGGGCTTGTGGGTGTTGTCTTCAGGCATTGTTCAAGTCTGGGGCTGAAAGGCCTCCAGGGCTCAAGCAATCCTCTTACGTCAGCCACTCAGGAAGCTGGAATTACAGGTATACACGACACTACTGGCTTTTCTAAGAACTGGTTTTTTTTTTAGGTCAGAGACCAGAATTTCAACTCAGTAACTGCCGCTTTTGCCCACTGGTGTTCCACCAACTGAGCCACGCCGCCAACCCAAGGATTTTGAAAGCTTAAAGGCTGCTTTAGGGATGGGGGTTTAGGGGTAGAACACCTGCCTAGCAAGGGTGAAGCTCTAAGTTTGGTTCTCAGCGGTGCAAGAGAAACACACACAAAAACTAAAATGAATAAAAATTACTCCAATTGTTTCCTGAGGGGTATGGCTGAGTGACCCTGTGTCCCGGACATTCCAGGCTTCAGCAACTTGTCCCAGCACGGTTATTAATGATGTCCCTCTTGCTCCAATGATTTAGGGCACTGATGTGCAAACTGACCCTATAAAACGGCATCCCCTAGAGACTACCTGTGCCAATCCCAATGGACAGTCTCAGAACCAACATGGATTCATTTCTTTTTTCTTTCTTCTGTGTGTGTGTGTGTGTGTGTGCACACACACACACTAACACTGGGTCTTCAACTCAGGGCCTGGATGCTGTCCCTGAGCTTTTTCACTCAGGGCTGGCACTCTACCACTTGAGCTACTTCCAGATTTTTGGTGGTTTACTGGAGGTAAGAGTGTCATGGAGTTTCCTTCTGGTGCTGGCTTTGAACCTGGATCTTCAGATCTCAGCCTCTCAGGGAGCTAGGATTAGCAGAAAGAGCCTGGCCCCAATTGGACACACCTGTAAAGCACCTGCTCACACTCTGCCAAGCCCTGGGAAAGACCATGGACGGGGGCCGGAGCCACAGCCTAACCCGAGGACCATATACATCCGGGCCCTGACTTCTAAGTCACAGAGCGGGTGGTTTTATCTGCAGAACACAGCCTGTCACGAAGGAGCCCTGTTAAGTTTTTACAAGAAAAAGCAAACGTCTGAGGGCCAAGGCTAACCAGCTGAGAAAAGCATCTTTTTCCTTCCTGATGGGGAGGTTCAAGAAGTCAGAAGCTTTTCAACGTAAAGGATTCCTGTGAACAAGCTCAAGAAGGGCCTTTGGGGCGCTGGCTCTGAGTTCACCATGGGGGGGGGCCTCTAAAGTTAACATCAACAACCACCACCAAAAAGCGACCCCCCTTTAAGTTGGTTTTGAAGTGAATGAAGAACTGCAGTTTCTGAGTGACGTCTGACCCGTGCCTTCCAGCGTTCCCGCATCTCCGGGCTGTGTGCTCGTGAAACACGTGTGCTTGTGAAAACACGAGCAGCACTCTGGCCCCCCGTGCGCCCCAGCCCGGCACCCCCGGGCGTCCCGGCCCCGCACCCCCGGGCGCCCCCAGCTCCGCACCCCCGGGGCGCTCAAGCCCCGCACCCCCGGGCGTCCCGGTCCCGCACCCCCGGGCGCCCCGGCCCCGCATCCCCGGGGCGCTCAAGCCCCGCATCCCCGGGCGTCCCGGCCCCGCACCCCCGGGCGCCCAAGCCCAGCACCCACAGGCGCCCCAGCCGCGGCCACTCCACTGGCCTCTGGTGTTGCGGGACCTTGTCTGTAGAAAGCACGAGGACGGTCCACCGGGGCGCTGACTAGCGGACCACGCGGCCACCGAGCGCTACCGGGCGGGCCGGCGGGACTTTCCGCGCGCGGCTACCGAACCCCCGCGCCTGGGGCAGCGCACAGCCGGTGGCAGCGCGGCGCCGCCGCCTCGGGCTGCGCAACGAGCAAAACACAGGAAGAAAAGAAAAACAAGAGGCGGAGAAACTCCCGGGAGCGGGGCGGGCGGCGGGGGCGGCCCTCCCCGCGCCCCGAAGTTGGAGGCGCCCCGCGGCTCGGCCGTCCCACCGCGAGGGAGGGGGCGGCGCGGGCCGGGCCCGCCGGGGCCACGCGTGTTCGAGCCCCTCGATGCCCCGAGATGACTTCATCTTCCCGGAGGAGCGGCCGCGTCAGCCACGTGCCCGACCCGACCCCGTGCGCGCCGCGGGGATCTCCAGCCCCCAGACCCCGGCCCTCCGACCCCGGCCCCGATCCCCCGACCCCGGAACCCCCCCCCCGACCCCGTGCGCCCCGTGGGGATCTCGGGCCCTCCGACCCCGGCCCCGATCCCCCGACGCCAGCCACCCCCCCGACCCCGTGCGCGCCGTGGGGACCCCGGGCCTCTCCCCGACCCTGGCGCGGCCGCCCCAAGAGTCTCACCGCGGAGCTGGGGGCGGCTCCTCGGAGACCACCGGCGGCGGGGACGGTGCGTCCCCCTCCGTCCCCGCCGCGGGGAGGCCAGGGCGCGGGGCGGGCTCGCAACTCCGAGCCGCGGCGCGGGGCTGGCCAAGCGGGATGGCGCCGCCGAGCGGCCCGGGGACCCCCAGCCCCGCGGAGCCCCACTCCGGGCGGTACCACGCCGCGATCGGACCGCGCCGCGCGACCCTCGCCCGCCACCCGCGCCGGGGACCCGGGCGGCCGCAGGCCCGACCCCGCCGATCGCCCGCCGGGCCCGGGCCGCGGGCCCCGCCCGTACCTTCCACCGCCTCCTCCACCATCTCCTCGTCGCTGTCCATGGCGGCGGGGGCCCGGGCCGGCTCCGGGCCGCGCGGCTGCCTCCCGTCGCTCGGGTCTGCGGGCCGCGAGCGATCGCTGGGGCTGAGCCCGGCGAGTTTGGAGGAGGCTCGGAGGGGGGAGGAGGGGGAGGGGAGGAGGGCGGAGGAAGGAGCGGGAGAGGGGAGGAGCCGGGGCTGGCGGGCGCGGCGCCCCGCAGCCTTCCAAGCCCGCGGCCGCGGCGGCCGTGGCCGTCGCCCCCCGCGCTGCGCCCACCGCCCCGGCCTCCCGGGCTCGGGGGCGCCGCCGCCTCGCCAGGGCGCAGCTGATCGCTGAGCTCGCGCGCGCCCGCGCCCGCGCCCCGCCCTGCTGATTGACAGGGCCGGGTGCCTTCCAGGGCCGACCCTCGGGGAGCCGGGGCGCCGGAGCCCCCAGCCTGCAGGCGCCCCGACTTTCTCCCGCCCGCACCCCTTCCCCCGGCGGCCCTCCCGGGCCCGGCGCGCCCGGATCCCGCCCGGCCGCGGCCCCACCCGCCTTCGCCTCGCCTGGCCAGGCCCCGAAGCCAGCGGCCGCGGGGACCCGGCGCGCGGCGCAGGTCCGGCCGCTTCCCCCGGGCCGCGGGGGCCGCGGAGGGGCGCCGCCGTCTCCGCTCCGGTGCCAGCCGCGCCTCCGAGGGGGACGCTGGGCCCCGGCCCGCCGCCCGGTCACCGGGGCGCTGCCGCGCGCTGGGGCCGGCGAAGGGCGTCGTGAATAACGGGTTAGGAGGTGCGGGGCTGCGCGGGGCGCCCCGCGGGGTCGGGGTGGGGGAGGAAGGGAACGACAGCCGCGGAGGTTTTCGGAACGCGGGGCCGGGGCTGAGGACGGCCGGGGACCTCCCAGCCCTCCCCGGCCGCGCGCACGGCCCCCGCAGCGCTGGAGCGCCAGGTTTAGCCAGACCGACGATTGAGGGGGTGGGGGTCCCCGGTACCAGGCGTCTGCGGGGGGTGGAGGGGAGGCCCAGGCCGCCGGGCTCCGCTCCTCCCCGGCTGTGGGACGCCAGGCCTCGCCGGGCAGAGCCTTTGGCACGGGCCGGACCCCTGAGGCCTGGCGCCTTGGGTGCAGACACCCGGCCCGAAGGCCCTGCGGGAGAGCCTCCGAAGCAGGATTGCATCCCCCCACTCCTCTAAGCCTCGCCTCGCGTTTGTGTGCTGGGTTTTTTTTTTTGTATTTTTTTTCTAATTTCCCCTTTTACATGTCCCCCCTACCCCCCTCCCCGTATTATACTGATGGCAGAAGCACACCAGACTCTCGCTCCCCCAATTTCCAGTTTACTTTCGGGGATAAGAAGAAGCTGAAGGCTAAAGGGGTGTGAGGGGAGAAATCTGCCTTCAGAACACAGCGTGGAAAAGCGGCCAGAGGGGATTCGTCATACCAATGGAAACGAACAAGGAGACCTGTTGGAAGTGTTTTAGGAAGGGGAAGGGAGTGAGCCAGCAGGGTTGAAATCAGTGGACTGTGTTGAAAATGTGTGTGGAAATGTAGCCGTGCAACCCCTCCCTGTATAACTAGTGTAAACTTAAAAAACAAACCACACCGAGAAGCTGGCTCATGGGAGAGTGGGGAGGGCTGGGAGGGGGTGATGTGGGGTAGGGACAGGTCCCTAGGGTCCTGCTCTGGTCTTTAGGTGGAGAGGAGGACATCCAGCAGTCCCCTGGGTGGGGAGAGGTCTTCCTAGTCCTTCCTGCCGGTGGTCATTTGCCCTTGAGAGCACCTGGGACCTGTTCCACAGCCTCCACCTGGAGGCCGGCCTCCAGAGAGGGGCTGGAAGGGAAGCAGAAGCAGCCTGGGCTTTCCTGCTGCAGAGCAAGCTGCAGTGTCAGGCCTGCACGCTGCAGGGCCCGGCCAGGGCCTGCAGCTCTGTGGAGTTAGGCAGCAGCAGGGCCTATCCTCTCTCTCAGTCCTCCTGGCTTTGGGCCCACGGTTTGGTAATGCCTTTCGGCCTTGTGTTCATGACACATGTTGGTAAGTCATTTTGTGTGTGCCCCCTCTGAACAGAGAGATTCTTATTAGTAGCCCCAAACCTCACACAGTGTGGGGGGCACAATGTGGGCTGGGCATTGCCAGCGATAGATTTGCTGATAGGAATCACAGTGTGGAGTGTGTCACGAGCTAGATCCGCTTCCCGTGTTTGGGCTAAGTGCTTTGTTTCAGCTCTGGTCTGAAGCGCATGCTTGTGGTGTTTGTTCTAATTTCCCACATCGACTGGCTCTGCCTGCAGTCAGGCCTTTAATCCCAGCTCCTCAGGAGGCTGAGGTCTGAGGATCACTGTTTAAAGCCAGCCCAGGCAGGAAGTCCATGAGACACTTCTCTTCATTTAACCGACCAAAGAGCCAGAAGTAGGCTGTGGTGCAAGTGACAGAGCGTTAGCCTCAAGCACAAAAGGTCCATTTGTTTTTACAAGCTGTACTTGCTGCATTTCGGAGAATCAAGTCTGTGAACTCACTGGCGTTCACACCAGGAAACGGTGAGTGAGAGCTGGCCTGGTTGGCTGTTAGTGATTCCTGGTCTTGCTTCGTGGGTCAAGGCCCATTAGGACCCCCAGCAATCCTCCAGTGCGCACGCTCATACTCGTGGTCAGGGAGTCTCCCAGGCCTGCCCTCCAGCCTGGCTCCGCCTGCACCGTTTGTTTGTACAGCCTGTGAGGAGAAAGGAGAGCAGAGTGAAAGAACTCTGAAATACTCCCGTCCCACTGGCCCTGCCCGCTCCTTAACAGGATGATTTTCTCACCAGTTTGATGGAATTTTCACCTGAACTGGTTTGTTGCTGCTGGTGATGGTTTTTTATTTTTGCTTTGGCTGTTTGGAGTTTGGTTTAGGCACTGGGTTTGAACTCGGTGCTTGTGCGCGCAGGCATTCTAACCATTTGAGCCACGGCTCTAGCCTCCCTGCTTTGAGATAGGGTCATGCGTTTTTTGTAGGGGAGAGGCCTGGCCTGTGGATCTGCCTTCTGTGGCCTCCCTTCTGTGGCCTCCCAGGTAGCTGAGATCACCGAGATCACCGAGATCACCGGTGATCACAGCTCGCCTCACACCTGGCCTGGGGGGTGAAATGTAGTCATTAGCTGCTCTTTCCTCTCGGCCTGGCCAGGAGAGCCCCTCCTCCTCCCTCACGCACAGAGTGTCTGTGATTCTGTGCCTAGCACCTTGTAAACATTTTTTGTTTCAGCCAAGCACTGGCCAAGCTGCTGGGTAATCAAGTACCCCAGGCCTTAGTCTCCCCCCATGCACAGAAAGACTGGACCATGCCAGGTCTCGCTCAGGGCCTCTTAGGGGGCAGCTGTCCTGGGAGAGAGATGAACAAAGTGTGAGGGCTGAGACACAGAAAAGGAGAGAGGGGGAGAAGCCTGGACAACTTTGTGGCAATCTGTTCAAATCCTGGGTTATCTCCTCCTGAGGCCTCAGACGGGAGCGGGGAGGCTGTGGATCACTGAGCCACTAATCACTGGCTGGGGGCAGGGAGGACGGAGGGAGAAGGGCAGGAGGAGGCTGATCAGGGAAGGCTCAGTGAAGAGGAGCACTTCAAGGGGACCACATGAAGGGCTGGAGCAAAGGGGGATGGAGCGGGGAGCATTCATCCTGCTGGAAATAGACGCAGCCGGAGAGGGGAGGGGACTCACAGATCCAGGCTGACCTGATTTGGTGACAGCGACAGGAAGTGCAGGAGAGACCGTGGAGAATAGCCTGACTGGAGGAAGAGAATTAAATCATGAGCCGACGGAGCAGTTGCTATGGCATTGCCATGCCTCTGCCACGCAAAGCTTCCTCTGCTCTCCTGCTCCGTTCTTCTCACCGCGCGTTCACGCCGCTGCAGTTTACCCAGTAAACTGAATTTAGACCCTCGGAGACCTGGGGGGACGCGGATGCAGTGGTTCAGACCGGTCTGTTTCTGGTCAAGCTGAGCGAGTGTTCTTCTCCACGGTGTGTTAGGGTCTTTTGCTCTTTGCCTTATGAGACATAAAACTCCTCTGTCAGCCTTGGGTCGGATGAGGCTGCCAGGCGTTGTTAACTCGAAAACAAAAAGACAAACTGCAGTTTACACGGGCGAACGGCCTTTGAAATTGCTCCAGAAAAATCAATGGATTATGGATTGCACGAATTTGAAAAAGAAATATAAGCATCATCAACACCAAACGTGATTTGAAATGCCACTTCGCTTTACTGCTCGTTAAGAATAATTTTCTTGGGTTATAATGAAGATGATGGGTCCTGTGATCAGTGAGTGGGTCCTAGGCTAATGTACACACGGCAGGAGTCTGGCGCCCGGCATGCTCTGTTGATAGCCTCATACCAGCATACGTGGAATAATATTTCCCTTTGACTTATTTATCACAAACGGTGTAACAGTCCTCATTGTACTCACACTAACCGGACCTCGGAGTGATCGTACATGCCTAGATTATGACTGACAGGTCAGAATGCTCATGCTGTCATGGGGAAACTGTGTCTTCCATAGATGAATGCATTGGACAGGATGAATTACACCCAGGAGTTTGCTTGGCTGGGTGGGCTTAGAAGAAAGGAGATTCTTTGAGTAGTCCACCAGAGAAACTGTCCTGATACAATGTCACCTCCCCTCCAGCCCTGCGCACAGCCCTGTCAACTTCTGAGACGGGGGCTTCTTCCTTCTGTGTTCTTCCTTCAGTGTGACTTCTCCATCATTCCACGGCGCCAACTTGACCAACCCTTCCTTCCTTCTGTTCTTCCCTCCTTCTTTCCCTCCCTTTCTTTCTCACCCTTCCCCCCCCCCCCCCCCCACCTCCCTCCTTTCTTTTGGTCCTGGGGCAAATCTAGGGCCTCTAACACTCCTCCAAATACTTTCTCTACTACTGAATGCTATTGTCATTTTAAAAGCCTTGGTCCACAGCCTGTTTCTGTTTTCCTGATATTAGAGTCTTGATACTTTCATGGGAATTTCAGATACCCTCAGCCAGCCAATTGCTGTCTGCTACTGAATTCTACCCAGGTCTGTTTGGTGTGTGTGTAGATTTGCCTGACTGGCTCCCAGGTTTCAGGGAAGTGCCTCGTGTTTCTTCCTTGGCCACTGCAGGTGGTCTGTTCTTCCTCAGA